AGTGTTTTTGAAGATCATTTTTGAATTGGTTCTACATTGTCAAAAGAGAAGATCACAGTGATTCTACATTTGAGGGGGAGAATGCTAGAATATCTTTCTCAACAGTTGATTGTTTGAAGATTATAAGTTGAAAGAAGACATATTGTGCATAAAGTTTCAAAGTTCAAACAAGTACTCAAAGCGCAGATTTTTCTTTCAAGTCTGAATACAAAGGGGGAGAATGTTAGGACTGAGAAATCAGTATTAATTGTATTCGTCTTGAAAGATTAATTTTAGTCTATAATTGTAAAAAGTCAGCGTGTTTGACTTTTCTTTAGAGGTTTGACTTTGACTTGTCTTTGTTTGTTTGACCATATAAATAGGTTAGTAATCTTTGTAATTAGTAAGAGAGGAGCAAATTGTAAGATTACATTGATAATAGAAGGTTTGACCAGAATTCAGAGGATTGACTTTTCCTCTCAATATTCATATATGTGTTCATAGTGTTCTGAATGATAAATCCATGAATCTGCCATTGATGTGAGCTTAATATGAAGATTGATCAGTAATTGTGGACACACATAAATGGAAAAACATTTCTTACTTTTAGAGATGCATGTTATGCTCTTGGGCTTTTAGACGATGACAAGAAATATATTGATGTCATTGAAGAGGCAAATTTAACTGCATCTGGTTTTTATCTACGCTTCTTATTTGCAACCATGTTGATTTCAAACAGTCTATCTAGACCTAAATTTGTTTGGGAAAAAACTTGGCAATACTTAGCAGATGGGATACTCTACAATCAACGAATTGCTTTACAGTCGACAGGTATGTTAATTTTATATCTTAAGCATAGATTTATACAACTATTATCTAAATAAGAAAGAATTTATTTTGTTTGTCTTCATCAACCACTATGGTCGTCATTAAATTGTATCTAATTTGAATTTCATATATTAATTGTTTTCATTTATATTATCTTCTTACAGATTTATCTCTCAATGAAGAACAAGTGAAGAATCTAACTTTGTTCGAAATTGAAAAGATTTTGCTCCGTAACAATTCCAAGTTGAAAAACTTCACTACTCTACCTTATCCTGATAATGATTCTCTTGAATCGTCAAACAACCGTTTGATTGCAGAAGAGCTGAATTATAACCATCATAATTTACATGATGAGTTTCAGACACTTGTAACTGCTCTAATAAATGAGCAAAGAGGTGTGTATAACGAAATCATGACTGCGGTTGAAAAGAAAAAAGGTGGTGTGTTTTTTGTTTATGGGCATGGCGGAACAGGTAAAACATTCCTATGGAAGACATTGGCTGCATCAATAAGATCTAAAGGAGAAATTGTTTTAAATGTCGCTTCCAGTGGTATTGCATATTTACTTCTTACCGGTGGCAGAATAGCACACTCTCGGTTTCAAATCCCGCTCATTATCAATGAAGATTCTCTTTGCCACATAAAGCCAGACAGTGATGTTGCGAGCTTAGTAAAGAAAACTACTTTGATAATATGGAATGAGGCACCAATGGTTCATAAGCATGCATTTGAAGCATTAGATAGAAGTATGAATGATATTTTCAATACTCGACGCAGTGGTGACTCACATATGCTTTTTGGGGGTAAGGTAATTGTTTTTAGAGGAGATTTCAGACAAATTCTATCGGTTATTCCCAACGCAGGTAGACAAGACATCGTAAATGCACATTAAGTTCATCTTACATTTGGGAAAGATGCAAAGTCCTAAGGTTAACTAGGAACATGAGGCTAACTGCAAACAGTGAGATTTCAGAAATTGAACAAACAAGGGATTTTGCAAAATGGATTTTGGACTTAGGAGAAGGAAAAGTTGGAAGTGATAACGATGGTGAAGCAGTTATTGAGATACCTCATGATCTTCTCATTACCGATTCCGTTGATCCTATATTTGCATTAATCGAATTTGTCTATCCCTCAATTCTTGAAAACATCAACAACTCAACTTATTTTCAAGAACGAGCAATACTTGCACCAAAAAATGAAGTCGTTCAAGAAGTAAATGATTGTTTGTTGTCATTGTTTTCAGGAGAAGCAAAGGAGTATTTAAGTTCATATATGCTATGTGAATCAGAGCACCTTCATGATGAGTTTGATAAAACTTTGTACTCTCCTGATGTTTTAAATGGTCTTAAATTATCAGGGATACCAAATCATAAGATTTTACTAAAAGTTGGTGTTCCTATCATGTTACTTAGGAATATTGGTCAAAAATCTGGATTATGTAATGGAACTAGACTGCGGGTGTTAACATTGGGAAATCGAGTGATAGAAGCACAAGTTATATCTAGAAGCAATATTGGAAGTCGTACATTCATTCCAAGAATGTCTTTAACGCCTACAGACAAAAGGATATCATTCGAATTTCAAAGGAGACAGTTTCCAATTGTTGTATGTTTTGCCATGACCATTAATAAGAGCCAAGGACAATCATTATCAAAAGTTGATTTATTTCTAAGACAATCGGTCTTCACCCATGGCCAGTTATATGTTGCTTTATCCAGAGTCAAAAGCAAGCAATGTTTGAAAGTACTAATTATGGATGATGATGGTATTATTGACAGTAAAACAACGAATGTTGTATATAAAGAAGTGTTTGGTAGTATATGATACATGGTTCTTATTTTATTAATATTTTACCTATTTACCTTAAATTTGTTCCATTTATGTTCTGTTATAAATTTTGTTTTACGACTTCATCATATTAACTCATATTATACAGCTATGTCTCTGCATGTACTAGGCAGAGCCTTTCAGCAACACTTCGTGCTTCATACAGAGCTTCATAGAGGCTCTGTATAGCATATGATCCTGATTCCTTGCTTCATGCAGACCGACATAGAGGCTCTGCATTTACACGGCATAACCTATGTTTACGGAAGGATCATTTAGACGTGTGATTCTGAATAACCTTGACTTCAACTATGGAGAAGGACTTCAGGCTTCATTTTTTCAAGAAAATAGTTATTTACGAGGCGGGATGCAAAGCATGTCAAACCACGTGCTTTACCCCCCACAAGTTTAGGAATAACCGTTTAAGCTGTCGATCCTTCGATCCGATTTCCACTCGAGTGCCTATTAGGAAATTTATATTTAAATTACCCTTTATCTCCAAAATTAAATTTATTATATTAATATTTTACTTATTTACCTTTCGTTTGTTTCATTTATGTTCTGTTATATATTTTGTTTTACAGGTTCCTCATATTTACTCATATTATTATTAATTCTTTAGAGGGTCATTTTTCATTTATGTTTTGCATTATAATTATCCGGCCATAGACGCTCTGTATGTACTACGTAGCTCCTCTGAGCCTCGCTTCGTGCTTCACTCAAAGCATCAGAGTGGTTCTATATGTACTACGCAGAGCCTCTAAGCCTCACTCCGTGTTTCATACAGAGTTTCACAAAGGAACTGCAAGTACTACGCAGCGCATCTATGCCTGATTCCATGACTGATGCAGAGATACAACGCAGAGCCTCTTTCTACGAAAAATTTAATCAAACTTGTACATTTGTCCAACCTTAGAAATTAACTCCGATTATTAATTCTTTATAAAATACATATCATTTTTGTTTAATTTTTGTAAATTAACCCGTGTAATACACGGGTTCAAACCTAGTATATATATGTACGATGGCAGGGAAATGCTTCAGAAAGAATAGAAAGAATGCCCGATAATGCTTCGGCACTGAGCGGATATGCATACACCCAAGAGCTATTAACCGGACCTAGTACGCAATGTCAAGATTTGATGCGCCTCTCACATGAAGCATATTTACTGTTATACAATCATTTTAGACAAAGAAATTTGGTGAAGACAGTAGACATGTTAGTGTCGAAGAGAAAATGGCAATGTTTTTTACAATGACGGCCATAACAAGCGTTATAGAGTGATTAAACGTAAATTTCAACGCTCTACAAGAATTGTTCATGTTTGTTTCCATGAAGTTTTACTGCGTACGATGGAATTCGCAAGAGAAATAATGGTGCCAACAACTTCTGATACAACTATAAATACGTCGAGTCATCAAAGACGTTTGATTTTCCTTATTTTAAGGGTTAGGTAACTTTACCTTTTTCATCCTTTCAAAAAAGGTGACAAGGCCAGAAAAGTAACCAAGAAGTGATGGGAGGTCTTTACCCTCTAGTCATGAAGACTTTCTTCCTCTGGGAAAAAAGAATGTCCGGTTCTCATTTTTTCCCTATATATTGAAGCATTCTCTCACTTGGAAAGACATCAACCTTGGAGCATTTACTCTCAACTGAAGTTCTGGAGCAGTAGAGCAAGTTTAGTTTCTGCATTTAATTTTATTTTCGTATTTAGCTTTTATTCTCGCTATTGTGCCTTGTATTCCCCCCTGTGGGTAACCGTTTTAGTGAAATTTCATTTTAAGTATTTCTTATACATTTCTCTTCTTCTTTTTCTTCTATGTTTTATAATTTCATTATGAGCTAATCACCCCTTTTGGGTGTGGGTGTGAGTCTAACTTAAGAATTTAAAGGCACACTTGGGTGTTGCCATTTTTATTAATTCTTAAGCTTGGTAATTTAAGTTGAGACTTAAGCTCAACGCAGATAAGCTGATCACTTTGAAGTGTTAATATTAGATCATTGATCTAGAGATGGGCGGATCTAAAATTCGGCTTAAATGATGCATAAAGATTTGAGAGAGTCTTTGATAATCACGTAGAGATACGGATTTTGCATGTTTTTAGTTAATGTTCAGATAGGTCGAGTTTATACTACAAAGAGATTTGAGTATAAATCTTCAGGCTAGTGGAACCATATATCTTTTTATCTATTAGCTAATTCGGCAGGTTTAAAATTGATAAAACTGGACGCTTTGTGGACACTCTGTGGGCATAATATATAAGAATTCACTTTCAAGAGATTGGAGTTTTTATAGAAGTCCCGTGAGTTTCTGACCATACTGTTCCTACAATCTTCTTAATGGATACTTACACCCATACCCATCTTTTAATTTTAAAGGTTTACTTCGTATTTTAAAGCTTTGCAATATCAAAACTCAACTTTTTCTCAAACCGAAACATGCTCAAGAAGTTCATGAAACTCTCTATTCTCAGTAAGTCCAGTCCCTGTGGAAACGATCTTGGTACTATACCACTTTATTACTTGAAGCGATCATAGTGTCGGCGTGCACTTGCACCGCCACTGTGGGGACTTTGTGCCCACTGTGTGAACACTTACGATTCTAGCACATCAAGTTTTTGGCGCCGCTGCCAGGGATTGGCGTGATTTTTATCCTGAGATATTGATTTTCATTTGAGCCTTGGTCATTTGTTTCAATCGTTGTTCCAGTGTTGTATGCCATGGCTACAACACAGTGAGCTTTTACCTCTTGATCTTGAATTAGAAAGAACCATTAGGAGACGTAGAAGAGGTAGAAACAATCGGCGAAATCCCACTTTAAACCGTACCATCGGGGATAATCCACCTCAGCGGGAAGCCACGGTTAAAATTGTCGATGACAAAAATAGAGGCATACGGGACTACGCAACTCCCGAATTTGGTCAATTGGCCTCGGGAATAGGTAGGCCCGAAATGACAGCAACATCTTTTGAACCCAAGCCGGTAATATTTCAAATGATTTATGCAATGAGTGAGTTTGGGGAATTATCTTCGAAAAAGATCCGCACTCTCATTTAAAATCTTTTATATAAATGACGGATCATTTTAAAATTCCCGAAGTCACACAAGAGGCCTTACACTTGACACTTTTCCTTTATACACTAACGGATAGAGCTAGAGCATGGTTAAATTCTCAACCACCAAACTCGATCCTTACTTGGAATGATTTGGCGGAAAAATTTCTAAGATAATACTTTCCTCTGACGAGGAATGTAAAAATTAGAAATGAAATTATGACGTTTCGCCAAGAAGAAGATGAAGCGGTGTCGGACGCATGGGAGATATTCAAGAACCTTCTAAGGAAGTGTCCTCATCATGGAATCCCTCATTGTATTCAATTGGAAACCTTTTATAATGGACTTTCCAGTGCCGCTAAAATTATTCTTGGCGCAACGGCCGGTGACGCTTTCACAGCTAAAACCTATAACGAGGGGTATGACATTTTGGAACGAATTTCTAATAATAATATTGAATGGTCTAACCCTCGTGCTGTTATTTCTAAATCTGCCTCGGGAATTCATGAACTTGATGCCCTTTCTTCTTTGAATGCCAAAATTGTAGCTTTAACTAATTTGGTTAAAAACAATTTAAACTTGAATGGGGAAAAGAGTCAAGTTCAATCCATAATGTCAAATTCATCCATGACTGAATCTTGTGTTTTCTGTGGTGAAAATCATTCTTATGAGTTTTGCCCTGGAAACCCCGTTTCGGTAAATTATGTTGGGAACCATACTAAAAATAGCCCATTTTCTCCCACATACAATCCAAATTGGAGAAATCATCCGAATTTTTCATGGGCCGGAAATTCTGGACTTCAACCCCCCGGGGCAACCCAAGTCCAAAATCGACCTCCGAATCCCCCGGGATTTCATCAAGGTGATCATCACATGCAAGGTGGTCATCACATGTACCAAAATGGGCAATCTTCACAATCACATGCACCTAGGCAACAAAACACATCGGAGAGTAATGGTTCACACAAATCTTTACTTAGAGGTTTTATAAACCAAACCAATGCCACCTTGAGGAATTTTGAGACCCAACTCGGCCAATTTGCCGCGGATCTCAAGAATATACCTCAAGGAACCTTGCCTAGTGACACGGAAACACCTATAAATATGTCAAGGTTGTGACTTTAAGAAGTGATGAGAATTTGGGAGAATCTAGTAACACAAAGGAAACACCTAATGAACCGATTTGTCAAGAAAATATTTCACATTCTTTTGACACATCAAAATTTTCAGTTCTGTTTCCTCCAGCTGAAGTAACACATAATCCAGTTTCTGTCCAAGAAACAGCAGCTTTGCCCAGTTCCAGCACCACCCAGTCTCCACCTGACACTGCTCATAATGGGCAGAAAGTGCCCACTCCCCAACAAAAAAAGACCGGTCCAACAGATTTAGATCTGAGAGATTTACCTTTTCCAGGTAGGATGAAAGCCAAAAATGTGGATGTACAGTTTAAGAAGTTCTTGGACATCTTTAAGCAACTCCACATTAGCATACCTTTGGTAGAAGCTCTCGAGCAAATGCCTAGCTATGTTAAATTTTTGAAAGATATCCTTAACAAAAAAAGAAGGCTAAGTGAATTTGATACCGTGTCTTTGACAAATGAATGTAGTACCCTTCCTACCTGCAAAATTCCCCCAAAATTAAAAGACTCGGGAAGTTTCACCATCCCGTGTTCAATTGGAGGGAAAGAAGTAGGTCATGCCTGGTGTGACCTTGGAGCAAGTATAAATCTCATGCCTTTGTCCATTTTTAATAAATTGGGAATAGGGGAAGTCCGACCAACCACCGTGACTTTGCAATTAGCGGATAGGTCTTTGGCGTATCCAAAAGGCAAAATTGAAGACATTTTGGTTAAAGTGAACAAATTCATTTTTCCGGCCGACTTTCTAGTGTTAGATTATGAAGCCGATAGGAATGTTCCGATCATTTTAGGAAGACTCTTTCTTGTTACGGGTAAAACATTGATTGACGTACAAAAGGGAGTTAACCATGAGAGTGAACGACCAGCAGGTGACTTTCAATGTGCTCAAAACTCTTAAGTTCAATGGGGAAATTGAGGACTATTCGTCTATTACTCAGTAGGTGAAGATTTAGATCTAAGTTTGATAGATTGTGTCCACAGTAGAGACACTATGGGTATAGCAGAAGACATTTGTGAAAAAGACTTACTTGAGGATATAGCTGCCTTTAAACAGTTAGATTTTAAAGATATACCAACCCAAACCCCATCCATAGTAGAAGCACCCGACTTAGAGTTGAAACCACTTCCTTCACATCTTAAGTATGCATATCTTATGGAAGGAGAGAAATTGCCTATAATTATTTCTTCCAACTTAAGTAGTGAACAAGAAGAAAGGTTGATAGATTTGCTGAAAGACCACAAGAAAACCTTTGGTTGGACCATAGCCGATATTAGGGGAATAAGTTCGTCTCTTTGCCAACGTAAGATAATTTTAGAAGAAAATAGTGTTGGAAAGGTGCAACCTCAAAGAAGACTAAAACCCATCATGAAAGAAGTGGTTAAGAAGGAAATCTTGAAGTAGTTAGACGCGGGTATCATATACCCCATTGCTAGTAGTGGTTAGGTAAGTCCGATACAATGTGTGCCAAAGAAAGGTGGTACCACGGTAATCACCAATGACAAAAACGAACTTATCCCAACTAGGACCGTTACCGGGTAGAGAATTTGTATGGACTATAGGCAATTGAACTTAGCCACTAAGAAAGATCATTTCCCTTTGCCTTTCATAGATCCAATGTTAGATAGATTGGCTGGAAAAGAATTCTATTGCTTTTTCGATGGATACTCGGGATACAATCAAATTCACATTGCACCCGAAGACCAAAAGAAAACTATTTTCATTTGTCCCTTCAGAACTTTTTCTTTCCGACGTATGCCATTTGGTTTATGTAATGCGCCGGCCACTTTCCAACGTTGTATGATGTCTATTTTTTCGGATATGATTGAGGATACTATGGAAGTTTTTATGGATGATTTTTTGGTTATTGGCACTAATTTTGAAAATTGTCTTGAAAACTTAAAGAAAAGTTTGGAGAGATGTGAGACCCATGACTTGATTTTAAATTGGAAAAAATGTCATTTTATGGTACAAGAGGGAATTGTTTTGGGTCACATGGTTTCGAAAAAAGGTTTGGAAGTTGATAAAGCTAAGATTGAGGTGATAATGCAATTGCCTTAACCAACTTCGGTCAAAGGCATTCGTAGTTTTTTGGGACATGCGGGTTTTTACCGACGGTTTATTAAGGATTTTTCTAAAATTGCAAAACTCTTATATAATTTGTTGCATGTTGACTAAACTTTTGAGTTCACCTTCGATTGTAAAAAGGCTTTTGAAACAATAAAAAATGCTCTTGTCTCGGCACCCATTATCATTACTCCAAATTGGTCCCTACCTTTTGAGGTAATGTGTGACGCGAGTGATTGGGCAGTGGGTGCCGTTTTGGGACAAAGGCAAAATAAGATTTTTCACCTCATTTACTACACAAGTAAAACTCTTGTTGAAGCTCAATTGAATTATACCACAACGGAAAAAGAATTACTTGCGGTAGTATTTATTTTTGATCGTTTCCGATCATACTTGATTGGTACCAAAGTCACTGTTCATACAGATCATTCTGCGATAAAGTATTTATTTAATAAAACTGATGCTAAATCACGGCTTATTAGATGGATTATTCTCTTGCAAGAATTTGATCTAGAGATTATTGACCGAAAGGGAAGTGACAATCAAGTGGCAAATCACCTTTATAGAATTGAAGGAAATGTATCAAGTGGGGGGGAGTCATGAGATTAAGGAAGTTTTCCCGGATGAATATGTTTTGGCCATACAACACAGTTTTCAAAAACAACATCTTTGGTATGTAGATATTGTCAACTATCTCGCATGTGGCCTTAAACCATATCATTTTCAGGGAAATCGGTTTAAAAAATTCTTTCACGATTGCAAGCATTATTTGTGGGACGATCTGTTCTTTTATAAAATGGGATGGGACCAAATTTTGAGAAAATGTGTCCTGAATGATGAAATCCAAGCTTTGTTAAAGGAGTGTCATGCATCTCCGTACGGTGGCCACTTTGGTGGACAACGTACGGCCACTAAAATTTTACAAAGCGGATTTTTTTGGCCCACCATCTTTAAAGATGCTTTCGAATTTGTGAAGAGTTGTGACCAATGCCAACGCATGGGAAATTTGTCCCAAAGAAATGAGTTGCCCTTGAACAATATCTTAGAAGTCGAACTTTTCGATGTTTGGAGTATTGATTTCATGGGACCATACCCCATGTCTTTTCACAATCAGTACATTTTGGTTGCGGTAGACTATATCTCCAAATGGATAGAAGCCAAAGCTTGCCCAAGAAATGATACCAAAACGGTAGTGGAATTTTTGCATAAAAAATATTTTCGTTCGTTTTGGAACTCCTCGAGCCTTGATAAGCAATGAAAGGACTCATTTCATAAACAAAGTGTTAAGTGCCGCTCTTGAAAAGTACAACATCCAACATAGAGTTGCCACAGCTTATCATTCACAAACCAATGGTCTTGCAGAACTTTCGAATCGTGAGATTAAAATTATTTTAGAGAAAGTTGTCAAGCCAAACCGAAAGGATTGGTCGCTTAAATTGGATGATGCATTTTGGGCCTACTGTACCGCTTTCAAAACTCCATTGGGCATGTCTCCATACCAACTTGTTTTTGGAAAATCTTGTCACCTCCCATTGAAATTGGAGTATAAGGCATTTTGGGCTATTAAAGAACTTAATTTTAATGCAAATCTTGTGGGAGAGAAAAGAAAGCTCCAACTCAGTGAGTTGGAAGAGTGGAGGTACCAAGCCTACGAGAATATGGCATGACCGTAGGATCAATCAAAGATTTTTTGAAAAAAAAGGTCAAAAAGTTCTTCTCTTTAATTCTAGATTAAAGTTTTTCCTCGGAAAACTTAAATCTAGATGGTCGGGACCTTTCACTATTGTTGAAGTGGGAAAATTTGAAACTATAGATCTCTTGAACCCACATGACAATACTATTTTAAAGTGAAAGGGCATCGGGTCAAACATTTCTTCCTGGAAGGAATGCAAGATCCACGGCAAAATCTCTCTGATTTTCATCAAATCATTTGTTGTATATAATGTATATATTGTTTTTAATCTTTGTACTCTTTGATTGAATCATGCATGTGTGCTCGTTGTAGGCATTTCATACCCACAATCTGAGGTGGTTTTTGAAAAAAATTAACTTTGGCGGGTTCTGTGGTTTTTCTTAAAAAAAGAAAAGAAAAGGGAGTTGAGAAAAAGAAATTGGAAATCAAAAAGAAAAAAATGATGGTTTATTCTGAATTGGGAGGTTTTGGAAGAGTGATTTGACAAAAGCTTTTCATTTTTTATTTAAAAAATCTTGTGATCATTGGGTTTTGCATGGGGGGTGGTTTTCAATGGGAATAATCGCCGGGTATTAAGAAAAAGGGGGGGAATTATCTCTAGACATCTTTTGATTGCACCCTTCATCTTCCTCTATCATTTTCTTCCTCCCATGGCGAAATCAAGAAAACCCACCCCCGAGCAAGTTCCGAAGCGTCGGTCATCACGACGAGCAGTCGCCGGCGAGTCCTCTGCTGCTGTTTTCGTCGCTCCTTCGATGGCCGACTCCGAGCCCTTGTCTCCCGATCCTATTGCGTTTGCACCACCGGCTCGAGACTTTGTCATGGCGACCACCGGTCAAGCCATGGCGGTGCGAGTGGACTACGATGAATCACATGCGGTCGTCATTCCGGTAAGCATCCCTATAACTCTTCCCCTAGTCACTACTATCTTCCCCTCCACCGCCACTATCCCTACCACCATTACCGTCGGCGTCGGACCTTCTGTTTCACGACAGTCGGCCGTCGTCCCCTTTCCTCCTACCACCACTAAACCCCTTTTCCTTTCCCTATCCATACCCACACCCACCACTTACACTCCCTCACCCATTACTTCGCCTGTTTGCCTTCAAACCTCACAACAGCCCCCAATACCCCTTCCCTCTACACAACTAGGACCACCCACCATCCATGACTTTGACCTTAACCTAAGTGACATTTTGGGGGAAGATTTCCAGTTTGATTTTGAAGACAACAACCCCTCAAATCCTGAGGAATTATTTCTCTTTTCTGTACCCGAAACGATTGAGGAACCACAACAGAACCCCAAGAGACACAACAGGAAAATGCCCCTCCTGTTGAGGGCAGACTGTGAGCTCTGAATACTCTTCGAGAAGCACTTGTAGTTCAAGTTCTGAATCTGATGTACCACCGCAAGTATCATAACCAGTTGCTGAGGATAGTGATTATGAGGATGAAATGGCTAAGGAAATGGAGAATGCGAAGGAAGTTGCAGAGGAAGTTGAAGAATTGGAGGATACGGAAGAAATGGAAGTTTTGGAGGTTGAAGTTCCTAAACCTTCCAAAAAGAGGAAAGCAGCAGCAAAAAGCCTAAGAAGAAGGCAGCCCTTACAAGGAAGAAAGCCAAGACAATGCCATTCCAAGAGAGGTACGATCGAATCAAAAATAATAAGATACTTTTTGAATGTGCATTTGACCCCAAGTTGGTCAATGCACTCGTGGCTATTAAACATCATTTGGTTGATTTGCAATGGGAGAACATGGTGGCTGCACCACTCACGGCCAATGTATCTTGGGTGACCGAATTTTATGCGGTCGTGGGAACCACTAAGAGTGTATTGGTGACAATTAGGGGAAAGAAAATTGATTGGTCTGGGTCGAAGCTTAATGCGACCTTTGGACTTACACCCCCACCGAAATGCTCTTTCTCCCAAATCATGAAAGGAACATTGGAAGTACCCGACACCGACATTGCATCCACTCTCACACTTCCAGATCACGGGTGGTCAAGAGACAATAAGCGCCAAATTATTTTGGCGGGTCATTTAAACAAAGAGGCCGGGCTGTGGTTCCAATTTTTACGCCACAATTTGAATCCCACTGTACATGAAAGCACAATTTCACGGGAGCGATGCGTCCTCCT